TTGGCAATTATCCTTGTCTTGTTTTACTAGAGAGCACATATTATTTTCCCATAATAATATACCACAGTCTTCCTTTACTGTAGGTGTGTCAATGTTGTAGGGGCACTGTCATAAAAGACTGAAAACCTGTCAAGTAAAATACTTGAGTTTGAAATCTATAAAACAGTTAAGTACCACTTCAGGGGAGATATCTGCTACAACAAAATAATGAATCTTCTTTTTTGTAGTTTCAAAGGCATCCATGATGACTTAGAGTTCCTTCCTGAGGAGCAGGATTTATCGTCTATTAATCTCTCCGCCCTTCACTGCGAACTTTAATAGCGATAATTTAATACTGAACAGCTGTTGTGGCAGACATCATTGGGTTTGTTTTCGTACAAAGTGGGTTCACTTGATGAATGTAATGCCGAATTGGCAAATAATGGCCCTGAGAATTTTAGCAGCAGAATAACGGTGAAGATGAAGGAGGGCCAAGAAATTGCTGTTGAAAAGCACAACATCCAGGTGTGTTTATTTTCAGGTACCTTCTATCTTGTTTCATTTTTGTCATAATTGCTTTCATTCACTTTATCCATTTCAGGGCTTTTTTTTCTGTGCTGTAGCAGCTGCATGAGTTTTATTTGTACAATACCTTGATCCTTATTGTGAAAACTGTAACACTGGTTTGTAATGAAGATGTCATTAAGTTGTGAATTTAAATCCTGTTTGTTTCTTTCTGTACTATTTTTCCTGAAGGTTAAACTGAGCGTGAGTTCCTCACAAACATTGAAACGATTGTCAGAAACTCCTTGCCTCATGATAAATTGAAGTCATATTTTGCTGATCCAGAAAGTGCTAAAGAGGCACTGCTGAATAAAGTCACATTATTTTTGCAATGATAGAATCAAGGTATGGCTCAGGATATCGCATGATTTGAATGTTTCACTTAGACCAGTGCAACACACAATAATATTTTTTGTGTAGTATGTAGAAACATTACACTGAAAAAAATGGTTTAAAAAAATGTTTAAAATATTCAATGAATTTTTAATAATTTGTTCTAGTACTATCAGGACATGGCTATTCCAGACACATTCACCAGAGACTTTGGTTCAAAGCAGGAGACTATTACCCTCACAGGTTCAGGTACATGTTACAATCATTATAGTGTTATTTAAAACCTTTCCTTCCCTTTGACTGTGATAAACCAGACAGTTTGAATTAATGACTGCATTTACATCCATCTACACTGGAAGTTGTGATAGGCTAGCTAACACTGTTAGTATTACAACCCCATGAAGACAGTGACCATTGTGTATCAAGGGTACATCATTATTGCATCAGATTACTGCATCCCAACTGAGTGAATGTTCCTTAGCATGTAAAGGACACCCAGTGGTTTGTGTTCTTGCATAATAGTCCTCCCTTAACTGTTTAAGTCCCAATAGTGATCAACATAAAATTTCTCCCAACATTATCCTTACATTTTCAAGAGATAAGGTTATGAGACTTAACAAAATGATCACTAAAGAGAAAATGCCTTTATCATTCATTAAATTCTCTCAACTAATGCTTAAAGGAAATGTATGTAGATCACTTTGGAGAATTTGTACCTGTATATTAGGGCTTAAAGGGTTAAAAAGAATACCCCCTTACACTTCGTGATGTGACTACCTAACCTGTTTTCCTTAGAAACTGGAAAAGAAGTTCAAAGAAGACTGGAATTCTGGC